CTTATGTTTAATTACTGTACTAGTTTTCAGTCAACTGTCAGGCGGGTCATGGTAAATTCCAGCCGCAAAATGTACGCGTCAAACAGCGTGGCTGTGAATCTAGCATGCGTTTGCAAATGGCATTCCTTACGGAACTGTAAGGATCCTGACGTCCTAGTACACACAGATCAGAAATTTAATATTTATGTTTCAACTTGCATAAAGAACGCCATGAGTCATATTGTTAGAAGGTTCGAAGTTCGATCACGTCAAAACAACCCATTATTCGCAGGTCAAGGACATGCAAACCATTTTTTTGCCGGCTGGAATGAAGCACATTTGGCTGAACTGCGTGCTCAAGGAAACCTTAGCAACTGGTAAGAGAAAACTTATGCCAAGCCTTGAGTTGGGTCTGAACCAGGCACTTCTAAAACACCGGCAAACTACTGAGTAGCTGTGCCACTGCCCTTGCAATGCGCCTTCACATCTTCGGAACTCTTTTAACGAGTAAACAATTACCCAGAATGCATAAAATTCGGTCGACGATCGAACTTGGTACCGTAATACGTTTTTCCTCAAGCCGTTCTTCGATCGAATAAAAATTAATTTAGAAAAGGAAAGTCTGTGACTCTCAGGACACTGGAATTTGTTGCGGTTTCATAAAGAACACTTGTTGGGGCATCCCAAATTCATCTAGCCTAGGATGATTGAGCTGACCTTCGTTTCAGTCAGGTGTGATGTTTTTCCCAACGCCGTCTGTAACCGATTTGCGAAACCGCAGGCTGCTTAAGAATCTTGATGTCCGCCAAATCTGAACATTTCGCATTTTAATACATTATAATACTAGGAGGTGTTTCCTGCTTATAGTAATGAATGAATGATTCCTTATCGACAACGATTCTCCGCTTACAACCCTCTTGTCGTGTCTTTCATTAACCACCCTAGTCTACCACGTACGCGGCTTAACCACTTTCTTGCAGATGTAGATTGCATCTGTCCCTGAGCATTTGGGATATGTGTTAACTTAGGTGGTGTCACAACCTGGTCGTTTCCGATGCACTGACAAAATCGCCAAAATGTGTGGCGAGCAACATCATTGAGAATTTTTTTAGGAGTTCGTGTTTCTTGTCAACGTAGTTGTTTCCACTCTGTGAAGCAAAATATGACTAACGGTAATAACGCAGCAAAGATTGACCTTGGTGTGAATGTTATTCTTCCTTTCAGTCGAAACTTTTGCGAAGCTTTTGAAAATGTACCAGTACGGTCCTCCACCTCCTCTTATGCTTACTGTTACCATGATTCGAACGAAAGGTGCTAAGATATTTCAACAGTTAGATTGTACAGTTGTCATATCACAGTTTCGTTTCCAGCTGGAGACGAGGAATGCGTCAGAGATGAATTCACCGTCGACAATGCTCGTCGTTTCGCTTCCTTTCGATGAAGTGATAGTCATAGTCACAGTTATTAACCTCGAACAGCTTTAAAGCAAGGGATCGAATGCCTCGGTGAGGGACGCTAAAATAAGTCGTTCTCAATTGCTACGGCATGCATAAAGTCTCATAATAAATTTTAAAACGGTTGGTTAGTGATAAGTTGGTATCTTATCGCTGATATATTTCCACGTAAATCGTCTTAGAAGCATATTTTGGGTAAAAACCTGGTCGAATGACTGAGAATGGTTCAACTGTCGATATTCATCCCTCAAAAAATACGATTACCGACATAACCGTTAGCAGTTCGAAGTTATGCCAACCGCAATTCCAGTCAATAAACTTTTTTATTGATATCTGCCGCATCAAATTCGCCCGTTATGATAGGCATCAATGAAATGACTCTGGGTTCTCTTGCATAATTTTGATTTTTGCCCAGACCTTACAACCCTCTTCCGAAAGGTAACTGACGTTTTGGAAATGGTAGCTGAAATATGCTTCCATGTGTCTAGAGGAGTATAGTGTGTCTATATGTAATGCAAGAAGAAAGAAAATTTGTAACCGTTGGAATGTTGGTCTTCATTACACTTTCATCAGAAGGCGATTCCTGGTGTCCTTCTCTTTATGAAGGTAATGTTGGGGTGCAGGTCTCCATTTCCATGCTATCAGCCAGCAGCGATCTGTTTTAAATGCTGAGTCGATAGCAGTCATATGGCAAACGCCATGTGCAGTACCCTGCTTCCTTCCCATACACGGTACTTATTTACCAACTTCGGAAGGATAAAAGACGAGCGACCCGACAGAGGCTCTAAACGGGCACATTTCTGTTCTCCATCGACTGAACAACCTCAGCCCTCCAACTTTACTACTATGTCAAGTAAACTTTCGCCAATGCTTATATCATCCCCAACATCAAATTTTTTAGACTGCTCTGGTGCAGTAACTGCGCAAAAACGGAGTTCATAAAGATGGAACTGGCCCCGAATGCCAGAGGTGCGAGAGTCAAATCGTACATAAGAATGAAGTCTAACTCTTAACGTTGGTGAACAAAACGTCTGTGTCGTTCTACTGCTTTGCAATCAGCTGAAACGAGTTAGCAAGTCAATAGCTCGTGGACAGTTGAGAGAATACGGTGTTCGGCGGACATGCTTGACGGCTGTGAGGGATATTGACACCATATCGGAAATTAAATATTAATTAGTGATGGTAGTTCTTCTGATTCTACGGTCGGCAGCACAAGAAACGTTTCTCGTACTGTTAACCATGGGACTAGAAAACCTATCACTTTCAAGCCAACTACGGCACGGTATTGGTGTTAGCTTTAGAAAGCATATAATATTAATTAAATTCGAAAAAGCGGTCACAAATGACCCTCGCATCGTACCATCGATCGAACTGTCCAGCACACGGACCGGGGTCTTTCGGGTAGTCGCATTTGTTGCCGCTCGGTATGTTTTCTTCAGCAGGAAAAACTGAGCCAGAAAGATCAGACGCGGGCACGTTGGGAAGATGACCGGGCACAAATGAATCGAGGCTGCTGATGAATTTAAATT